AATAATTGAAATATTTTTACAGGGATCCCTGGGTGGCGCAGCGGTTTGGCGCCTGCCTTTGGCCCAGGGCGCATCCTGGAGACCTGGGATCGAATCCCACGTCAGGCTCCCGGTGCATGGAGCCTGCTTCTCCCTCTGCCTATGTCTCTGCCTCTCTCTCTCTCTCTCTGTATGACTATCATAAATAATAATAATAAAAAGAAATATTTTTACAACTGGAATACATTCCCAGATAAAGTCTTCAGTTACTCACCAAAGTAGGGATAATGATTAATGCGATAGTGTCTTGCTCTAAGATTAGCAGACAAACTATTAACTATAAAATAATCCATTTTATTCGTACTTAAATTTAAGACAGCTTTGAAGTTAATAGAGCCTATACTGGGAAGTGTATTATAATATGTGGTTACTACAATTATCACACCTGGAACCCAACAGGGTTATCATCCAGAGAACAAAATCTGTTAGGAAAAAGGAGAAAGAAGAGGCTATTTCTAATCTAAATTATTATAATAAACTTCTATTAAATGCACCCAAAAGTCAAAATTTTCCAACAGACACCTTTTCCAGCTTTGGTTGAGGCTCTTTTTTCAAAAAGTTACTTATGCTTTTTCCCTTTGTTTCTATACATAATTTTACAGTGATAATGTATTAAAAATTTCCACAGGAGATATATTAAAAACTAAGCTTACAGGACACCTGGGTGGCAAGTGGTTGAGCGTCTGCCTTTGGCTCAGGGCATGATCCCAGAGTCCCGGGATCAAGTCCCACATCGGGCTTCCTGCATGCATGGAGGATGCTTTTCCTTCTGCCTATCTCTGCCTCTCTTTCTGTGTCTCTCATGAATAAATAAATAAATCTTTAAAAAAATAAAAATAAAAAATAAGCTTACAAATATATATTCTATTACAAAAATTATGCCTTTTAGTGTTGTCTAAATAAAGATATTGAATGTAAATGATAACCACTCTATTACAAGTTTTCTGAACCAAGTTGCTAACATCATCATTATAAACTTTTCAGGGTTTGCTCTGCAATGTACAACCATGCAAAAAGTGAAAATTTTTAGGCTTAAAATACTTAGCAATTTAAATCAATTGAATTAATTTTAAATGTGAAAAAAGGGATCAAAAAGACACAGGAGAAAACCACTAATTACTCCTCTTTCAGAACCTATTTCATTCAACAAACTTAATAGTACCTTTTACCTCCTATTTTAAGAAGAAATCTGATATACATATAGGGAGATCAATTATTTGAACAATATTTTAATCTTAAAAATAAAAATTGGTATGCCAATCTTAATTTTGTGAAGAGAAAGAAAACCATCACCAAAGATATTCATTAACCTCTTAATATACTCCCTCCTTCCTCTGTAAATTCACAAGAATTACAGCTAACAATTTTAATGGAAAAAATGTTTTATTTATAAATTTAAACCTATAAAATTTAACTTTATTTTTTTTTATTAAAGATTTTATTTATTCATTCACAAGAGACACAGAGAGAGGCAGAGACACAGGCAGAGGGAGAAGCAGGCTCTATGCAGGGAGCCCGATGCGGGACTTGATTCCGGGACTCCAGGATCATGCGCTGGAGGCCGAAAGCAGGCTCTAAAACGCTGAGCCACCCAGGGATCCTAAAATTTAACTTTAAAACCACTAACTCAAGCTTCTTTTTCGGCTACCACCAAATATTTATTCTGAATGTCCATTATAACAAAAACTAAACAATACTTTGTCATGATTTTGACTAGTGTTACTCTACCTAATGGGTTCCAAATGTTAAAACACACATACACACACACTCTCTCTCTCTCTCTCTTCAGCCCTAATAACAAATTCTCAGTTACTACATTCATATTAGAATATTACATAAAATTTCAAAAAAGACTAGCAAACCTATCCAATCAAGGCACTAATATATAAATAACCACATTTTTTCAACATTTCCCAAAGAGAACACTACCAATTTTCTTTATAAATACTTAAAAAAACAAGCTCAGAAAATCAGACATTTTCCCAAAACAAAAACTCAAATGTGGTCAAAATAAATATTTCATATCCTCTGAAATAATGCCCTCTTTCAAAACTTACCAATACATAAAACTAGAAAATTCTACAATCTATATTAATTAGGTAAAAAATAAACTTCAAGTACTTAAATCCACCTATTGTTCCAACAAAAGGTAACCCAATCTTTTGTAAACAATTTTACATTAAAATAGACATAAAATATTAAAAAGTTAACATTTTCTTCTGAAAAGGTGAATACTAAAAATAAAGATTATCTATCTAAAAATCAAGTTCAACTTAATAACATTAAGTTATTTTTGCTAGCAGGATTATGACATATAGAAAACTATAAATTTGCTTATCAAAAAGGAAGTGATTTTTATACCAAGCCTATGAAAAAACAACTTACATTAAGCTGTATTCTGCTTAACTAAATGCATTTTATCTTATTAAATATGACTAATGCTTCATTTATTCTTTGGGATGGAGACCAATTCAGAATGGGGCAGAGCAACAGGAAGCTATTCCACTAGGAATATAACTGGAAAAAAAAATAAATTAAAATAAAATAAACCAAACTCAAGAATATGAGAAGAAAAATTTTGATGAAATACCTCTCTAATCAGTAAATTTCTCTGATTTTTTTAAGACCTTTAAAGTCAAAGCAATGAAAAAAATAAAGTCAAAGCAATGACTTGTAACAGTGATTTTGGTATCTTTGTGTATTCATGCCTAATTGTTATTATTCAAAGAATTAAAATAAGCTAAATGGAGGAGGTATTAATTTAATATGCTTAGAGGAACTATTAATTTTTCTGTCTTTAAAAAAACAACTTTTGGGATGCCTGGGTGGCTCAGTGGTTGAGCGTCTGTCTGCCTTTGATTTAGGACATGATCCTGGGGTCCAGGATCGAGCACCACATCAGGCTCCTTGTGGGGAGCCTGCTTCTCCCTCTGCCTATGTCTCTGCCTCTCTCTGTGTGTCTCTCATGAATAAATAAATAAAACCTATTAAAAAAAAAAACTCAAAATCTTTCAGAATGTTAATTCCCTTGTCTCATTATGGATTTATACAAAAAAAAAACATCAGGAATTAGTAATGATCTCTGCATGATTAAGTACTCAGAAGTACTAAAAAATGAAATTGATCTATAATAAAATCTGGAAATTTATTTCAGACTTACTGTCTAACATGACATATTTCTTTATAATTTGTATCTTTCAAAGACATTTCTTTACCTCCTTAAAATAAATTTGGCTAATGAAGCATTAATAAAAAACTATAGATCCATAGCACTAGTACTCCCAACAGTTTTATAAAGACAAAGGAACACACAGTATATATCTAACAGTGGTTTCATCTGTCCCCAAATTGAATCCTTCTGTACTACTTTCAAAATGTGCTAATGTACATAATAAAACACTGAAAAATATAGCCCAAATACCAAGAAGTATTACTCTGAAGCAAAAGAATACATGAAAATAATGGATGAAGAAAATGTGTATATGTATAAATATATATACATTTACACACAAAACATGAGTTAGCATTTTCTTACTATATCATATTTAGTTAAGATGAACAAATACATACAAACATACGTGTTAAACAAAACAAAGTAGTATCCATCCAAATGTAAACAGCACTGAAAAGTACAAATAAATAGAAATTATACTCTTATTTCACTAAAGGCAATGTAATACAGACCTGTTGAGAGTACTGTATTTAGTTTTGAGCCTTGCACTTAGTATTACTTAAAAAGTAATATATAGATGTAGGAGAACATTTTAAAGTAAAGTTGAAAATAACAGCAAACGGTTTAAACAACATGAAGAAAGATTACTAGATTTAGGATGGGCTGGGTTGGGAGAAAGTTAACGGGCCATGAAATATTATCATGTAAAACTTTTGAAGGTAACATTTTTTAATAGCATGTAATTAGCGGAGATTTTTTTCCTTAAAAAGAGCAAATCAAAGATGAGGATGAATTACAAAATCTCTGAAATGAATTCTGTTTTTAAATTTTAAGTGACAAAACACAATCTAACAAAGAAAAGTATCCAATGAGACATATAGTTGATCTACAAAAAAACTAAAACCAGGAGAAATAAAATATACTACAACAAATCTTCTGACAATCAATACTAAGGACATGTCCAAATTATTTTTTATATTAGAATTATACAGTGTTAAATAGAGAAAAGTGATATATTATCAGAATAACCTGGAAAGCTTTTTCTAAATATGCAGTGATTTCCTTATTTATTCATTCTAGAACTGGGGAGAGTGGAGGGACAGGAGATGGTTTGAGAAGGGTGATGAATATGTACTTATTACATATTATGGATATGTATATTATGGAGAAAACCACCCAGGTGATTGATATACCTACTGCTGTATAGCATTTGATGGAGAATTTGTTTTAACTGATATGTTAATTATAGCTTAGAAATATTTTTGTCATACAGATGAATTTGCAGAAACCTAATTTTACCTATATTATAGAAAAATCAACTGAGGTGCCTATATCAAGTCAGTATTTCTTATATTTTTAAGGTAGTTAAAAAAATACTAATGTTTTATGAAAAATTAGATTTAGGTATGAGCTACAAAACTATTCAACATTACCTATGAAATAGATACAATTAGTTTAAAATTCAGTTGCAGAAAAGCTATTCTAGGTTCTACCCACTCTCTAAGGTGTTTTCAGAATAACCCAAGGGAATTACAACAAAAAATTATAAGAACATTTTAAAAACAATTTTATATAATTTTTATTTACACTTTAGGATTTAAACAACTTGCTGGTAACATCCTTTGTGAGGCAACATAAGTCTTTTTTAAAATTTGAAACTATTTAAACTTCAAGATAGGCTCACTAATTCTTTTCAAGGGCAAGCAACAAACGTGTTAGCTGAAAAGAGCCAATTTAATGATTATTTGTAACAGAGACTTGATTATGTGAGCCTAGAGAGCCTCCCCACCTCTGTCTCCCCTGTGAAGGAGGAGGTCTTTGTGTGCTTTTGTGTGGCGGTTCCACCGAATTCATTACAATAGAGATGGACATTTCGTATTCGTAACGATCCAACATCTGAGCAATCTTCTTTCGAGATACACCATGTTTATTCCTCCTACCAAAAAAAAAAAAAATAAAAGGATTTTAATTCTTTAGAATGTGCAGGCCTAGAGATTAAACTGTTTCAGAGTAACAGAGTACAGATTCTAAATTATATTTTGCAAATAAATACTAAAAGATACATCCCATTTACCTACATTTTAGATAAAAAAAAGTTATACTGGCTCTCAAAAAGTTTAATAATATTTTTAAAAGGTTTAAAGACACCATAAATCATAGCAAAATGTTAACTGATAATATCCCTCTTCCTCACATAAAACTAACTACCAATTCACTGAACCATGGAGCTAACTAACCCCTTCCCCTTAAAATAAAATTGAAGATTATGAGACAGTGTTTTGGGAATTACAGAGGAACTGAGTGGACTTCTACAATTATAAAAAACAATATAAAATATTTATCACTTTTCAAAGTTATTTTAGGACACTTCCTATTGCATTTTTAAAATTTATTATCAATTCCAAATTACTGTTAGAGACAACAACTTGGACATATTTCACAAACATAATGTTGAGTGACAGAAACTAGACACAATGAACACATTCTGTATTTATATAAAGTTTGAAAAAAATTAAACTATGGTTAGACAAAATATGTTTTAGAAAAATAAAAAACAAAAATAAAGTAAAAAGAAAAAAAAGACACATTAAAGAAAAAAAAAGACACATTAAAGAAAATAATTCCCACAAAGGAATTATTACTGGGAAAGGAATTCAAAGAACTTCTGAGGTGTTGATAATGTTCTTGTAACATGGGTACTGGTTAAATGAGTATTTGCCTTACAAGAAATTTGTTACGCTGTAAATTTATATTATATGTAATTTTCTCTGAATTTGATTATGACAACAAAAAGTGATTTTAAAATTATACTTGACCCTCAAAAAACATTTTACAATTTATTTTACCTTTGTAGTTTTCTATAACTTGACTTGGACATGGCAAAACACATAGGAACATACTTTATATTTACTGTTACAGTTCTAGATTTACTAATGCTAATTCATTTTTCCCAGAAAAGGGACACAAAGGAAATGTTTACTTTTTAAAATTACTGAGGTTTATGTTAAAGATTAGAAAAGCAAAAGGACTAGAAGACAAAAAAAAGAGGAACCTGAGGTTGAAACTGACAAAATATGACTAAATGCTCAAGTTGTTAAATTGACTTTACTTTGTAAAGTCAAATATTAAGAATACTAATACATTTCAACGGTCCGTCAAATGTTAATGAAGCCTAACTATTTCATCAATTCATTTATTCTGCATTAATCCAAACAGCTTTAGTTTTTAAATTTGTCTCTTCTACCTGAGGTGTAATAAACACACACAGAAGCAGATAATACGAGTTATTAATTTATCCATTTTACTCATGTATGAACACATAGTGTGCAAATCAGAAAGGGAAAAAGGGTAACCAAATGAATAAAAGGCAAGGGAAAAAGAAATTAGTTGAACACCATACACAGAATAACAGCTTTAAGTTGGAAGAGGGCAAGCTGAGGTGGGAGAAAAAAATGTTTTTTTTAAAAAAGGAAGTGATGGTTGCACATTTCTGTGAATATACAGTTGACCCTTGAATACAAGTTCAAACTGTGCCAGGTCCACTTACATGTGGCTTTTTCAATAAATACAGTACAGTAAAAAAGCCACATGTAAGTGGACCTAATACAGTACTGTAAATGTATTTTTTCTTCCTTGATTTTCCTAGTAACATCTTTTCTCTAGCTTACTTGATTATAAGAATACAGTACATAATACATGTAACTAAAAATAGGTGTTAATCAACTGTTTATGTTATCAGTAAGGTTTTTGGTCAACAGCAGGCTATTAGTAGTTAGGATTGGGGGGGGATCAAAAGTCATCATCAAAAATTGACTCAAAAATCCATTATTAATGGATTTTTAACTGTCCCAGGGGGTCAGCACCCCTAACTCCTGCATTAAGAGTCAACTGTACTGAAAACCATGAATTGTACACTTTTAATGCATAAATTGTATGGTACGTGAATTATTTTTCAAAGTTGTTACCAAAAGCAGAGAAGGAGAATAAAAACAAAGAAAGAAAAAGAGTCAGGAAAACCAGTGACATGAGGGGAAAGGGATAAAAGTAAACACAAATGGAAGGCCAGGGATGAAAGGAATAAAAGTCCACAATCCCTCACCACAAATTTTGAAATTAAAATAGCCTAAGAACTCAGTTTTCTGTTGATTCATATGGCAGCAAAATCTAACCAAACCTATACTCATTTGGCAGCACAATCTACTCAGAACGAAATTACATTATGCAGAATCTTTCTTATCTACTTAGAGGACTAGTAGTGATATGTCACAGGAAAAAAACAGAATATGTGATGATGACACGCTACCCCAAACTCTGCTAGGGGCATTATGATCATGTATATGCATTATATTACCTTTGTATTAAAAAACAAACAAAAACAGACCCTGAATTCTAAAACACAGATTACAAGGATCTCGGTTTATGAATCTATAGAGTATGAATCTATAGTAGTAAAGATGGTAAAGAGAGAGAAGATGACCCAGGTAAAAAGATGATGTGACCTAAAATGGGAAGAAAAGTTTGAAAGGTGATGCAGGTAAGTAGCCTACCTCAAAAACTTAGAACTTTTCCCTCAAAGTGTTCTAGATCTCTGCTAGCATTCAATAACTATGAAGCAATGTAGGAATTTACATAAGAGAAAGTAATGCACACACTTAACAAGGAAAACTTAATAAAATTGATCAAGGCAAGGTACCCCAAGAAACGTTGAATTTAAGTCAACGTTCCTCTTGACAGAAAGTGAAAACAGTCCCTATTCACAAATAGCAAACATATGACAAGCAAAAGCTAGTAAAGAAACTGTGAAAAGGAGAAGAGAAAGGAAAAAAGATAAAGATTCAAAAAATTTTTTCAAAGATAAGGATTCAAAAAAAATTTGAGTGCCTTACTTTTCTAATTCTTCAGGATCAAATTTCCACCAAGTTTCAGGTTCATGAAACTCTACTCTGTATCCTTTTCCTATGGCCTACACAAAGGAAAGGAAGAAAACAAAAACCCAGAGAATACTTCTTAAAGTAAAAAAAAGAAGTCAGATAAATAGAAGCTTCATTTAGACAGTATTTCTAAATTTGTTTGATCAGGGAAATTTTACTTTTAAATAATATGGTTTATAAAAATGTTAAGACCACATAACTGGACAATTTTGAATTACTGTCTTCAAGTCCAGGCAAAACTAACAAGATGAGCATATTTTTTAGTAAGTACCATTCCCAGTTTTTTAAAAACCAAGTTAACAAACACACCTCTTTAGAAAACAGGGACAAATGTTTATGTAATGAAGATCAAAGTAACCAAAATTTCAGAGTATGAAAAAATGGTAAGAATAAAATATTAAAACTTTCCCATATCACATATTTACCATTTCCACATATGGTTTCATTTCCCAAGCTTGTGTATTAGTGTTGTCTATTATAACTGGAGATCTCCCCTGATTGATAGCTTGTTTTGCTGAAATAAAAAATAAATTTAAAAAACAAAAACAGAAACCAGAGAACTATTAGAATAAAATATACGAAATAAAACTTATTCATTATTAAGAAATTTTCTGTATCTCTGTATTTATAACCAAAACTATGCAATCTCTTGAGTTAGTGCCATGAACAAAAAAGAGGACTCCACTAGATTACTAGATTAAAAGAGAATTAAGAGACCTAACCACAGGTAATGTGTATTTGGGGAAACAATGACATTTGGGGAAAAATATTTTGTTGAGCTACAGGTAAGGAAGCCTTGAGTCTAGAGCTAACTTTGATTTACAGGAAATACAAGAGCAAGTTACACTGAATACAGTCTGAGTATGAAAAGAGGTAAACATTTATTGACATGGAAAGATGGAAGACTGTTAACTGAAAATTGCAAATTATAACACAATATGTAAGTATACCCTTATTATGGTCAAAATATAGAGATCTGGGAAGAGAAACTAATTATTGTAAGTGGTCATCTGAGGGTAATGGTAGTATCAGCAATATATGCTTATCTATATTCTCCAATGTTCTACAATTACAAATAATGTTTCTGAAATAAGAACTTACATACCAAGTAGCTAAGGACCACAGTTCAACTGACTTTGTAAGTATTTCTTAGGACTAGCAATTCTCAAATTGGAGCCGGGATCACATAGAAATTTTCTAAACTACATCTTCCTATCCCTTTGCCCTCTCTTTCCCCACGAGGTAATAAGAATCACTGCCACAGTGAGCCACTGTTAACGACAGAGGTGTGTGTAGCCCTAAATGTAAATAGACAAGAAACATAATCAAGAACCTACAATAAAATTTAAAAGGCTGAGGCAAAAGGCAATGATATAGGAGTTTTGTTGGGACTTAAAATCAAAACACTAAGTTCTATATAATGAAAACACATATGGATGTCTAAGGGCGGGAGAGAATTCTAAGGGTTAGTTAAATTATAATGACTATGGTGGAATATATATTTGGGAGAATATGTCTTGAAATACCAAAAGCACTTTAGAATTTGGGTCATAAATAGGATATCAAGATGCTATCATCTTACAATGTTCTATCCTCAATCATAAATACTCTAAGAGACAGAATGACACCCTGGAGAGGTTTTTAATTTATAGGTGATCTAACATGAATTTAGATTCTTCTAATAACACACATGAAGCAGAGATTGCCAGAATGGTAACTGGCATTTAAAAATATTCAATAAACATCTGTTGAAAAGAAAAATTTAGTTCTAAGTATCATACTTAATAACTTGCAAAATGTCTAACAATTGTTAGTTATCATTACTATCATTACCTTGGAAAAATCTGTTATAATAAAACTAGTAGTTTATCGAAACACCATTTTTTGTTTAGCAAGTATTAACTCACATGGCATGAAATTTCAATGTAATATTCTAGACTGGTATTGCAAAGAGAAAAAAAAACACATTTCACAGTCCTCCAACAGTATAGTGACTCTATCCACTGCTTATTCATTCCACTCATCACCTACTACTATTGTCCTTAACTTTAGTCCAATAACTCCAAATATTTTTCAGAAGTGCAATACCATTATTACTTGATTTATGCAGTAATGTTCTGTGGCATAATGCTCTGTGGAGAATCCTAGAGTGTCAGAGAACCAACACTAGGAAATAATCTCAAAATCAAACTTATTTCACATTAAACATTTTACTCAAAGATACCCTGAAATTCCTTACTGTGAAAATTGACAATTAAAAAGAAAAGCATTCATCCTGTTCTTCCTGTATATACTGTACTTTAGGACAACCCTAAAGCTATTTCTTTTTTTTTTTTCCTAAAGCTATTTCTAGGTGAAATGTTCTTCATTATATAAGAATTCTAACATGGAAGGAATCTTAAACCTAGAAAATCACCATTTTGCAATGTTTAATGAAACGTCTCATTCGGGAAACAGTTCACTGTTGGATAAAACTATTACATGTAAGTTTGATAGGGAACTTGATAATGGAGAGAGTAGGCTGTCTCTTTGAAACTATTAATCAACCTTAGTATTATTAAAACTAGGACAACTAGACATATGCTTATGAAAAAAATAACTTGAAACTAACAAATCCTCCTGTCTAGAAATAAGTTCTATTTAAGGAAATAAAGGAGAAAGAAGAACAGGTTAAACAGCTACCACAAGGAAGCAAACAGACAACTAAAAAATATGGGACATTCTATAGGACAACCAACCAATTTCTACAACAAATTAATGTTATAAAGGCAAAAAGAAGGGATTAAAAAAAGGATAGATATTACTGTACTTAAAACCAAATGTACTGCCAGGATCTGTCTTGTACCCTGATTCAAAGAGAACAAGTGTAAAGACAACAGGAAATTTCATTACAAGCTGGATATTTTATGATGTCAAGGAATTGTCTTTTTTTTTTTTCTTTTTTAGGTGTGATGATGGCACTGCAGTTAAATAAGATGCTGTTAAATAAGAAAAAGGTTATTTTGAAACACATGATATGCAGTCAATGTTCAAATCACTATTCCAGAATGAGAAAATATTGACTGATGTGCTTCTAAAAAAGTATTAAGTACATTTTTTGTAGAGTAATGTCAATAGGGAAAACTTTAATATTCACAGACCTTTTATTAAGCCTTAGAAAACATCAGCATTTATTACTCTTAGGGAAATAGCTTTTGGGAATATATAACAGTATGAAGAGTTCTTTGAATTTATTCATGAGGTATAAAATAAAGGCTATCAAAATATCCTACACCTCTATTTTATCAGCTTATATTGGTACACTATTTACAGTTTAAAATATATACCTATTTAAATTCTCTAATTTGTCAATAACCTAATAAAGTAAAGCAAGTGTAACTTCTGATGAAAAAAAATTGGGTCTCAAAGCTATTTCAATGGCCTGCCAAAGTCATTCAGCTGGTAAAAGTTAAGTCAAGAATAATAACTCAAGTCCTCTGACTCCTAGTCAAATACACCATCCCAGAGACTTGGCCCAAAACAAACCTCTGTTCTGGTTCCAGTCATGGGCATCACCAAGTTGATTAACATTATACCTGTACCCATCTTGGTGGTGAAAATAGTCATCAGTGCTGAACACAATGCCATCACGACTCTGACCAAGCAGAATTCTGTTAATAAAAGAAATCACAAAGTGCCATTTATAACTATCAAAAAAATAAGCCACATAGGAAATGCTATTAAATGAATATCTGGTACTTACCTGTAAATATACTGCAAACAGAATAGTACAGGAGCTAAACCTTAAAAGTTTTCAGATTTCAAATATCACTTCACACTTAAATCTACACAATTACAACCAGGTACTTTTTTAGGTGGCATTTGTATTAAGCAGAAAATGGTGGAAGGGATTAAGAATATAAGAGTATAGTCTTGGGGGATCCCTGGGTGGCGCAGCGGTTTGGCGCCTGCCTTTGGCCCAGGGCGCGATCCTGGAGACCCGGGATTGAATCCCACATTGGGCTCCCGGTGCATGGAGCCTGCTTCTCCCTCTGCCTATGTCTCTGCCTCTCTCTCTCTCTCTCTGTGACTATCATAAATAAATAAAAAAATTAAAAAAAAAAAAGTATAGTCTTGGGATGATTCAAGAATACATACCTCCTAATACAAAGGAATAAGAAGGACTTCGACTATTAAAATAAACATCTCTCTCCTTTCCTCAGCTTATTATAAAATTGTATACAGGCATACCTCAGAGAGATTGCAGGTTCAGTTTCACACCACAAAAAACTGAGTACCACAATAAAGAGAGTCAAAATTAATTTTTGGTTTCCCAGTACATAAAAGTTATTATTAAAAAAACAATGTATACACCTTAATTCAAAAATATTTTATTGCTAAGAAATGCTAACCATCATCTAAGCTTTTAGCAAGTTGTAATCTTTTTGCTGGCAGAGGGTCTTGCCTCGATGTTGATGGATGCTGACTGATCAGGGTGGTAGTTGCTGAAGGCTGGGGTGGCTGTGGCAATTTCCTAAAATAGGACAATGAAGTTTACCCCATCCATTGGCTCTTCCTTTCGTGAACAATTTCTCTGTAACATGTGATGGTGTTTGATAACATTTTACTCACAAGAGAACTTCTTTGAAAATCAGAGTTAATCTTCTCAAACTCTGCCACGGCTTTAGCAACTAAGTTATGGAGTATTCTAAATCTTTTGTTGTCAATAATTTTTATAGTATCTTCACTAGTGGACTTCATCTCAAGAAACCACTTTCCTTGCTATCCATGAGATTGCAGCAATGCAGTCCCATCTTTGGGCCCCATTTCTAATTCTAGCTCTCTTGCTGTTTCCACCACATCCACAGATGTCTCCTCCACTGAAGACCTGAAACCTTCAAAGTCATCCATGAGTTTGGCATCAACTTCTAAACTCCTCTTCATATTAATATTGCCCTCACCCTATGAATCATAAATATTCTTAAGGGCAACTGGAATGGTGAATCCTTTCCAGAAGGTTTTCAATTTGCTTTCCCCAGATCCTTCAGAGAATCAATGTGTATGGCAGCTACAGCCTTAAATAATGTATTTCTTAAAATAAGACTTGAAAGTCAAAATTACTCCTTGATTCATGGGCTGAAAAATGAATGTTGTGGAAGCAGGCATGAAATCAACATTAATCTTGTTCAACATCTCCACCAGAGCTCTTAAAACCAGGTGCATTGTTAATGAACAGTAATATTTTGAAAGGAATCTTTTTCTCTGAGCTAAAGGTCTCAACAACGGGCTTCCAATATTCAGTAAACTGCAGTGTAAACAAATATGCTGTCATTTAGGCCTTGTTGTTCCATCTATAGAGCAAAGACCGAGTACCTTTAGCATAATTTTTAAAGGCCCTAGGATTTTCAGAATGGTAAACGAACACTACCTTCAACTGAGTCATAAACTGCCTTAGCCCAAGAAGAGTCAGCCTCTTTTGAAGCTAAAGCACTGACTTCTCTAGCTATAAAAATCCTACACAGCAACTTATTCCAGTAGAAGGCCATTTGTCTACATTGAAAATCTGTCACTTTTGTAGCTACTTTTATATATCTTAACTAGATCTTCATTAATTATCTAAGCTATATCTTGCTACAGCTTCTACTTGCTGCTTTACCTTGTACTTTTATGTTATGGAGACAGCTTCTTTTTTCCTTAAACCTCATGAACCAGCCTCTGCCAGCTTCTAACTTTTCTTTTGTAGCTTCCTCAGCTCTCTCAGCCTTCACAGAATTACACTTAGGACTCTGGATTAGGCTTTGGTTTAAGAGAATGTTGTGGCTGGTTTGATCTATTATCCAGACTATTTCAACTTTCTCCATACTAGCAAGGCAGTTTCGCTTTCTTTTCATTTGTGTGTTCACTGGAGTAGCACTTTTGATTTCCTTCAAGACCCTTTTCTTGTACTCACAACTTGGCTATCTGGCTCAAGAAGCCTATTTGGACTTCTGACATGCTTAATCCTAACTAAGCTTAATCACTTCCAGCCTGTGATTTTAAAGTGAGAGATGTGCAACTCCCCCTTTCACTTGAACACTTTGAGGCCATTGTAATTTATTGGCCTAATTTCAATATTGTTGTGTCTCAGGGAATAGAAAGGCCTGAAAACAGGAGAGAGATGGGAAAAGAGCAGGTTGGTGGAGCAGTCAGAATATACACAATGCTTATCAATTAAGCTTGCCATCTTATATGGGTGCAGCTCATGACACCCCAAAACAACAATAGTAACATCAAAGATGACTGATCACAGATCACCATAACAAATATATTAACAAAAAAGTCTGAAATATTGTAAGACTATCCAAGTGACATAAGGACACTAAGTGAGCAAATGCTGTTGGAAGAATGGAGCCAAAAGCTTGCTTGACACAGGGTTATCACAAACCTTCAATTTGTAAAAAGTGCAGTATCTATGATGTGCAATTAAACAAGTTATGTTTGTATATTTTATAGAAACTGCATATACAAAAATTTTAAAAATTTAAACATGCATTTCCACTTACAGAATTATAGTTCAAATTATTTCAAGCAAAGCAAGTGAAATTAAATGGTTGGTTGTTTGTGAAGCTAGAGTTGGATATCTTATTTAAGCCAGCATGATTTTCTCAAAATATGCCATCTAACATATTTGGCATCTTACTTGTTTATACAGATAACCTAGAATATAAAAATGCTACTATGGGCTGCCTGGATGGTTCAGTCAGTTAAGCATTCAACTCTTGATCTCAGCTCAGGTCTTGATCTCAAGGTTCTGAGTTCAAGCTTCTCATTGGAAAAAAAAAAGCTACAATATTAGCACTCCAAACCAAAGCTCAATTACCTAAAATGATTTTGATCATAATCAACCTTATGATGCCTAGTTACATTTAACAGTACCATAAAACTGTTACCATCTTTCTTAAATACCCTGTTTCATTTTTTCCATTCTATTACATTATTACCAGTGATTTTTCAAATATTAATAATACTACAAGAGTATATAGTAGCTTTTCTGTCCAAAAAATGTTTTAACCTCAAAAAAGGTGGGGGTGGGGGAGGCATGGAGACAGAGGGTAGGAACTAGCAAATCAATTTACATCATTAAACCGAGTAAACATCAGACATGAATAAATCTCTATGAAGAATATCTTAAGTATATAAATCATAGTTATAGCAAACAATTTTAGGTTAGAGACTTTTTCCTTTCAGACTGTTCATGAAGCTTTTTAAAATTCCCTGAATTATCTAAAACTATGAAGCTTTATTTTGGGGACTTACATTAAAAAAAATACTTATAATCAATTTGGATATATCTGATGCCATATTAATCACTTGAATCAAAAATAAATTACTTGGGAATATTAGTATTTTCACAATTCTTATAGTCCAATTCTATTAAAACTCTCACAAGTTAAATTAGGTATTAAAATGAACTCTCCAAACATCAAAACTTAGAACTCTGAAAAATCAAGTGTCTAATAAAAAAAAAAAAAGAGATATGGGCTCACTGGCTACTTGATTTACATTTTTTCATGTCTGTCTTTTTGAAACTTTACTGTATGACAAGCATTTTATCTACATCCCATTTAATATTCATAACACCCTTGCTTATTTGACATTTACAAATCCAGAAAAAGAAAATTATTTCAGAAATCAGGCCACCAGAGTAGAGTTACATAGATGCATGGGGGAGCCAAAACCAATGGCTTGCAATGATCCCTGCCTCCTGGTATTCACATACTTATATATAATCCCTTCCCCGAAACTGTGGGTGGGAGTCAGTGACTAGTTTCCAACTAATAGAATATGGCAGTTAATGAAATGTCACTTCTGAGACTAGATTACAGAAAAAAAAGTGGCTTGTCTTGGGCTCAGAGCTGGCTCACTTTGTTTCATCACGCTGTGAGTGGTGAGCAGTACAAGGAGCACAAAACCAAGGGAGGTCTCCAGCCTATACACAACCAGAAACGAACTGAAGCCCCCTCACCCCACTGCTCACAAGAACTAAGTCTTCACAACAACCTCAAGAGAGATCTTCCAAGCAGATCCACCCCAAAATAAACCTTCAGATCAGAACACAGCCCTAGCCAACATCTTAATCACAGCATTGTTAAAGACTCTGACCCAGAGGTCACAGCATTGTTAAAGACTTTGACCCAGAGGCACCCAGATAATTGCTTGCAGACTCCTGTCCTTCAGAAACTGTGAAATGTTTGTTGCTTTAACTCAGTTTTTAATAAGGTAATTTGTTTCACAGCCATAGATAACTAACGCAGTTCATGCTTATAAAATTCACTTAAGTAAAGAACAAGTGAATCTTGTTCTTTTTTAAAAAAAAATTTTTTTTTAAGATTTTATTTATTTATTTATGAGACACACAGAGAGAGAGGCAGAGACACAGGCAGAGGGAGAAGCAGGCTCCATGCACCGGGAGCCCGATATGGGATTCGATCCCAGGTCTCCAGGATCGCGCCCTGAGCCAAAGGCAGGCGCCAAACCGCTGTGCCACCCAGGGATCCCATCCTTCAGAGTTTAAACTGAGATCTTCTCCAAAAGCGGGGAGAAGATCTCTTTTTAAAAGAGATTTCTTTTTAAACTGTAATTGCTTATGATTGCTCCAACAAATTACCACAAATTTGGTGGTTTAAGACAATGTGCATAGTTCTGAAGGTCAGAAGTCTGAAATTAATTCCACTGGGCTAAAAATCAAGGTGTAGGTAGGCTGGCATTCCTCCTGGAAGCTCCAAAGGAGAACCTGTTTCCTTGCCAAATTTTCCAGCTTCTAAAAGTTATCTGCATATCTGGGCTTATAGTCCCTTCTTCCATCTTCAAAACCAGCAGTGTGACATCTTCTCTCCACTCTGAAAATACTTGTGTTTATCTCTGATCAACATCAACTCCCAATATTTTCCTAATATAGTAATTAAATTAGTCTGTTTCTGAAAATACATTCTCTCATTGGTGAAATCAGTATAGTAGAAGAAATGCATATTGGCCAAAATATTTTAGGTTCACCCTTTCTCCTTATATGAACAGGGTATAGCAAAATGTATAGCCCACACCCTGAGGAATGACACCCAAGGCTTGATCCCTAAATGGTCCTATGTCCAATCACTGACTTAGAGGATTCTGTTTAGCTGATACAATTACAATGGTAACAAAATTCCACATTTAGAATTTGTTGAATTCTGCCTGGGATGAACCTTTCATCAAAGTGCTGTCGATTTGTATAAAAGGACAAAGAGGGATCCCTGGGTGGCGCAGCGGTTTGGCGCCTGCCTTTGGCTCAGGGCGCGATCCTGGAGACCCGGGATCGAATCCCATGTCGGGCTCCCGGTGCATGGAGCCTGCTTCTCCCTCTGCCTACGTCTCTGCCTCTCTCTCTCTCTCTCTGTGACTATCATAAATAAATAAATTTAAAAAAAAAAAAAAAAGGACAAAGAGCTAGCACTTTCACATACCTACAAAGATGGATAAACTGTTTTGCACTAGCTTACTCATAAATACTCATAAATATTTAAAGTCTGTACTTGTGTTAGAATTTAACCTAAAACTGATTAAAATCTGTTAGCAAAGTTGTGGGTAAGCAACTTAGTAAAAACTTGGTAATGACAAATACTATATGAGTTCAGAAGGATTACAGAGGACTGAGAGGATAAACCAAAACCTCAAAAAGCAGAGGCATTTGAGAGAACCTCTGAATAAGTGAGGTCCTAAAACAATGAACGAACAAGTAAGTCTCTGCAGTGGAGGGTAGGTGCTAGTCCAAGTGCAGAAAGAAATGAAGATGGAGAGGTGGGTAAAAACTAAGGAAGAAGAGGACTTGAATACTACCCCCCAAAGAATTTGAACATTAACCTCCTGTGCTCATTACCACACAATACTAAATAATGGTACCTTTAATTTAGTGCCCCAAATGAGCCCAACTCCGATCTACCAAATCTTACTCCTTTTTTTCTTCAAAGCTCATTTTGAAAGCTAACTCCTATATAAAGCCATTCCCCACCATAGAATAAATGGCTTTCTATCCAATCCCAACCAACCAATCTTAAGTCATACAAAATGTGATGAACCTAAACAGGTACTCCTGCTTCTTTAAACAAGCTCCTGAAAGTCAGGAGTCAGGTATAGGGTCATGGATGCAACAGATATTAAAGTGAAGGCGCAGGGAATCATTACACCTCTTACATTATCATTTACACCTCTAGTCTGACCTCCTACCAGTTCTTAGAACTTCTCCCAAGTCCTTTAACCCGAACTTATCCTCTTAAGCCTCTGCTCCTTCTATGAAATGAAAATAACACAACCCACCTTATAAGATTTTTATATATGAAAGTACTCTAGACTGTAAATCATGATACAAATGGTAGTTACTACTATAGCTTGCATTCTTATACATTTGATTCCTCAAATAGGCATATTATATATCATCGAATCGCATCTATCACCTTCCACTTGTTATGTCTCCTTGAAATTCTATTTTACTACCACTACTTTATTCATCTTCAGTTTCAACATACCCCAATGTCATTTCAAATCTAATCTTTCCTTCTTAAATTTATTTTACACCCACACCTAGTCAGGTGACCCTAGCTAGGAGATTCCTATAATTTCCAAATTTCAACTATTTCTTTCCTCTGTCATTATATTCTAAATCTAGGAGACTACCCATGTTTGTGAGACTTCATTCGATTTCTATCCTTTCTAAAGAGTTGGAAGTTTCATCTTCTCTACGAAATCTTCGTTAAAATAAGAAGAATCAAGGCGCCTGGGCAGCTCAGTCAGTTTCGCATCTGCCTTGTCTCAGTTTAAGATCTCAGGGTCCCAGGATAGAGTCCCTAGAAGTCTGGCTCTCTGCTCAGCAGGGAGTCTGCTTCTTCCCTCTATGTGTGCCACCCCACAATGCTCTCTTGCTATCTCAAATAAATTTTTAAAAATATTTTAAAAATAAGAATCAAAATGCAAAGACCTAAATTTAAATTCATTTACAAAAATCACAGCTTACAATTTAGCTTGAAATGTATCCTAAGTGTAATCTTTAATTTATTGCTTCTGGAGAAACTTCTGTTTAGATTGTTTTTGCAAGTAAATATAAATTCATAAAACGGTTCTTTGGACTTTTTTTTATCCTTCCTGGAAGACACCAAACAATTTTCCTTTTCTCCTGATCTGGCATAAATCTTGAGTCATCCTACAAAAACTGTGAACAATTTGTCTTGCTTTTCTTTGTACTATTTTTCACAACTGCACAAATGAATTCAAGTGCATCAATATTCTTTTTAAAAAATGCAAACCAAAACAGGAATTTGAAACATTTTGTTATACAATAAAACATAACCAGTTCTAACTCGATTTATAACTCCGGTACTACTTACTTCACACTCCTTAAATTTAAAGAACAAAGAGAGTTCCCTCTACCAATCAAAGGTATAAACACAGCACAGTGCTAAAAACAAACTCACACCTCCTTTCCTTGGTTTATCTCATTTGCTTCTCACAATTATTCCAGAAAAATAACAATTCTCATTCTATTATCAGATAGCAAAACTTGTCCAAGGCCATAAAGTTTGAAATAAGTGGATCAAAAACCCAAATCTTCCAACCCCAAGTCCAGTTCTTCTTGGAGAGCTGACCTAAAAAGGGAAGGCCAGTACAGTTCTCAAATAGCATTTACTTAACATCACTGTCATAATTATACATGGTATATCTATTTTTAAAACTCTCAGCAGAATCTTTATATGCCAGTGCTCCTTTCCTCCGTCAGAAAACATATTTTTAAATATTCACACTGTCAGATGTCATTATCAAATGTAAACAAAGATTTTCTACTAGAAACATGGATGTATTTGTCATTGATTACTATTATCTACGATTTTTAAGTGAATTACCAAGCATTCACTTGGTATCCTTTACTCACCGAGACAACGTTGTTTTCCCAGAACCAGGCAAACCTCTTAAAAGAATAAGTAACTTCTGCAATTTATTTAACTTTTCCTCTTGAAAATGCTGGTTCATAAGCCTGCCTGTTCCATTATGCTTGTCCATAGGATTTTCCCAGCATCCTTCCCTGGTTTCATAGAAACCATTACTCACATATTCATCTTGCTCACTGTAGTCATTTGTAGAGGAATGATCTCTACCGGTATTCTCACTACAGTCAATATAGTCATTGTTCGGATCAAAAGTCAAACAATTCCAATTAATGTGACAACTATTTACATAATACTCATTTTGATGCTGAGAGCCATCTTGGACATGGAAAATATTTGATGGTGGATTTGGTGGAGCACTGAATCTTTGAAAACTTAAATGATAGTTAAAACTGGGAGGAGGAGGACCGTGGGGTACTAAAAAAGAATGCACTGATTGCCATTCAGGCCTGAAGGAAGTAAATGAATCATCACAAAATGGAGGTATTACTTGTCCATTATAAGGATATTTGCCTGGCTCGTTCCCCACGTGCTGCTGGTAACCGCAATGTGACTGAAGAACGTTACTATTATCTCTTTCCTTTCCTTCTTCAGATTTTAACAGATCATTATTATGATCCTGACAATATGTAACAAGTTTTTCCTCAGAGAGTTCAGGTTCATTATAACTGCCTTCCAAATCATCTTTTTCATTTTCAAGCTCTTCAATTTCTTTGTAAAATTGGAATAATTCATTGTCAAGTTCTGATACTTTGGAGTTGAATTTCTGTTTCTGTTCTCGTCTCCCTTTGCCATCTATACCACTGCTTGTGACTGAGTGATTTCCCCTTTCGTTACATTTCTTCTTCTCAGGAGGTTTGTAAATGGGTCCTATAAATGCTTTACTTGTGCTATATATCTCATCATCTGTGGATACCAATGCAGGACCTGGATCAATGGATTCAATAACATCTGATCTACTATTACTACACATCTCTTCATGCACAGGTTTCAGTGAGTCTGTAGCTTTGGTTTTGTCCTCCTGAGCATAACTATGTCCTCTGACATCAAGAGTGGTCACAGGGACCCAATCACTCCCAGTTTTTTCTTGGATTCTGTGAAAATTAGCACTACCATGATGGGAAAAAACATAAGCCTCTTCAGTTGACTTCAATTTTTTATAGCATGGTTCACCTGTTAGTTCTTCACCATGACCCAAGGATTTCGCTTCAATTTCACCATAAGGCATCTAAGGAGCAAATAAATCATATAACTAATAGCTAATATTTTAAATATCTAAACAAAAGTTTTTCAGAAACAAAACAGAAAAGACATTTAAATGGTAATATTTTCCCAAAATACAAAAATTACAAAGTTGTAATTTTATAACCACTATTTAAATATTGTTATAACATAATGACTTATTTAGGGGAGGGGCCTCACTGAAGGTAAGTACAAATGTTTTTTTAAAAAAAAAAAAGATCTCGGGGGGATCCCTGGGTGGCGCAGCGGTTTGGCGCCTGCCTTTGGCCCAGGGCGCGATCCTGGAGACCCGGGATCGAGTCCCACGTTGGGCTCCCGGTGCATGGGGCCTGCTTCTTCCTCTGCCTGCGTCTCTGCCTCTCTCTCTCTCTCTCGTTCTCTCTGTGTGACTATCATAAATAAATAAAATAAAAATAAAAAAATAAAAAGATCTCGGGGATCCCTGGGTGGCTCAGCGGATTAGCACCTGCCTTTGGCCCGGGGCGTTATCCTGGTGTCCCGGGATCAAGTCCTGCGTCGGGCTTCGGGTGTGGAGTCAGCTTCTCCCTTTGCCTGTGTCTCTGCCTCTCTCTGTCTATCATGAATAAATAAATAAAATCTTACAAAAAAATAAAAATAAAGACAGATCTCACCTTTAATCTAAATGATGCATTTCTGAACTCAAAGAACTTGAAGAAGTTTGGAAAACTGAATCAATAATATATATTTTGATGATATAGGTACACAACTGTGTACTAAAATGGAAAGTAAATCTTAAATCTGCCAGCCAAAGTGCCACATAACCTAACCAGTTGTGACAAATGTTTCCATAAACTGTTTAAAACCACTATATGCTTCGGAGTAAATGGATCCAGCTCCCAAACCTCAGCATCTCCTTAGTAACCAAATTTGACAGACCCTATTCCTATGAGTAGTGTACACGTGGTTTCCAAATGGGTATAGTCCATTAATTTAAAAGAAAAAAAAATAACTTCAGTTGCACTAAGTATGACTCAAATATGTCATGTTATGTTTAGAAATCCGGCAGTTCCAAATCAAAGCGTTCATGTTTTCCACATGCTTGGTCTATCTCGAAGATAAATTCTGCCTCCCTCGAAATTTCTTAAGGGCCTTCAAAATTGCAATCCCAAAGGCTGTTTCACTCAATATTTCTTCATTCTGCCCACCCTCTGGTATTCTCCAACAGGAGATAACAAGAAAGGGGCAAAAAAGACAAACTAGACAGCGATACAGGTAGGCCCACAGAAACTGAAAAAAAAAAAAAAAATACAAGTGTAAAGAACGCCATCCTATCGGAACCCCCTCCCCCACCTCCCTGCCTCCAACCACCTCTCAGGTTCTCATTTCCTCATTCGAAATATCAAAAAGAGTCTCCAGGAACAGTGAGACAGCAGCATGGCCTATACACAACCTGAGTCCGCGGGCCTCCCGACCTCCAAGGCAGGCGGCCCGGGCAAAAGTGCGTCACCCAGTTTCTTTCTCCCACGGAAACATGCTCAGGTTCTGTATAGGAATTCAACAGATCTCCTAGACTCATAGGTTCACTCTGGGTTTCCACGTTTACAAAGCTTATCAAAGGGGTGCTCTTAGCCAAGAGCAGACGAGATGCCAAAAAACCAGAAAAACGTCACCACCACTACCCCACCCTTAAGATGGGGTATTTACTCACCTTACACTACATTGACTGTAACTTCCCAATAAAATCGCAGTCTAGAAAGACACGAACATCTGAAAAGACGAAAGCAACGCGCAAACACCACCCCAAAGCAGAGAGGAACTAACCCCCAAGCCCTCAGCATCTGGGGACCTGCACCGCCGTACGCAAGATGGCTGCCACCTCGCGGTTACCCCGGCAGGAATTACAGGTTTGCGCTCGGCATTGTGGGAACTGAAGTCCAACGTTCGCCCTGGGCCTGGTAAACCTCCGCGCTCGGAGACTTGGTCTCCCAGAATCCATTGCGTGATAGACGCAGTCGCGATAACCAAGGTAAACCCTCACTAGTTCCCAGGTTTGGAGCTGGGAAGTTATTTAGAACTGTCAACTTTAGCTGGAAAAGGCAGCGACCTACTCTGCGATTCATCCGTAAAAGAAAAGAGAGTCCCTGGCACCCCAAACAGATACATAAGCCGCTCTCGGTGCATGCTTTTAAGACTTTCTAGGATACAAGGAGTCAGGCTTTTTCAAAGGGCTCTCGACATTTGGCATCACCCCAGGGATGATCATCCAAGTAGGATTTGCTGGCGTTTCTACGAAAAACCACTCAGTAATTTCAGGCTCGTGTTCTTCTGTCCCTGGAAACAATCACTACAGCAGAGCCTTAAGTACTTATGAGAAAGTTATTTCGCAGCATCACCGTGTTGTGCTTTTCGTTGAGAAACAAAGACCAATTACTGAGCTTTCCCGTTTAAAAAGTTAATTTGTGACAAGCACTTAGAATCGCAGCTGGTAAATAAAGAAGTGCTGCGTGTCTTTTAAAATAGAATTTTTTTTTAAAATAACCGAACAACTTGGCAATCCTCAGCTTAGAGCCCCTTCTCTTCCCACCTCTCCACCTCCACACCCTCTAAATCCGCTCCTTCCCCTGCAGTTTTTCCTGCCACTGCAAGTGAAACTGCTAACGTCTTCGATTTTAAATAAATCTTTCTGTTGTGTTAGTTTTTAGTTTATCAATATAACAGTTAAAATCACAGTCTGGAATATTTGCGTTTGATTATTTAATAACAGCTTTATGACCGAGAAGGCTTAGGCTTATGACCAAAGCAGACCATCCCCTTAGAAAGAAAGAATCTTCCTCAAATACAAACTCCCCCATCAACCTTTGATGTTTCCTCGTCGTTAGATCCAAGTTATGTATCCTCAGTGGAAACAACCATGTAAGGGAAGTTGTGTCTTTTTTGGAGGTTCAGGATGTCTGTTCATTATAAGGCGATATTAATCTTTACCACCTTATCAAGATGTTTTCCAGGTTCTCCACTGTTTATTTTATCCCTTGCAACTAAAAAGCAATCTTTGAAGAGGTATTTTGAGAGCACGCAAATATCTTGCGGCCAATCAAGCTCTGTATTATGGTTCAACCTCCACTGATGATCCTTGCTGCAGCCAATCTTTCAATGATGGTTACAAACTAGCTTTCCCCCACCCTAATTCCTTCAAGCCCTCCACATTTAATAGTGATGATACTACTATAAAGAAGAGTTCTCCTTATTTACTATCAGCATGAATTTAGATTTTCCTTTTTGTTCAAAAAGTCCATAAAAAAAATCCATTACTGTCTTTTGTTATTCAGGTAGTTAGTTATATTAGACTGTTTTGAAGACAGTTTTAGATTCACAGAAAAATTGGGTAGAGTACATGGTTCCCAGGGACTACGCCTTCCCAACCACACAGGTTTCCTCTATTATAAACCTCTTATTATGATGATACATTGTTACAATTAGTGAACCAAATATTGATAGTCACCTGAATTCCAGTCCATAGTTATTTAGATTTAATTTTTACCTAATCCCCTTTCTGTTCCAATATTCCTTCCAAGATACCATATTACATGTAGTTGTCATTTCTCTTTAGGCTGTTCGTGGCTATGATAGTTCTCAGACTCTGCTTGTTTTTGATGACCTTGATAATTTTGAGGAAAACTGGTCAGATATCTTGCAGCATGCTCTTCTACTGGAATTTATCTCATGATTTCCCATGATTATATTAAGGTTATAGGTTTTTGAGGAGAAGACCACAGCAATAAAGTGTAACTTTCATCACATCTTAGCAGGGGTACATACTACCAACATAATTTATGATTGTTTATGTTAAACTTGATCACCTGGTTAAAGCAGTGTTTGTCAAATTTCTCCATTGTAAAGTTACTCTTTTTCCCCCTTTCCAGGGGTCACTGTGCACAGTGCACATTTCTGGTTATTAATCTCCTCCATTAGAGTACTTATATAATTTATTTAGAATTCTTCCACATGGGATATTGTTCTCTTCTTCCCTATCCTTATTTATTTTGATGCTCAAATTATCAGATTTGATTGGCTTTCAGGGTGGCTCCCTTTGGCCTCCATGTTGAACATTTTCTTACTTTTGTGACACAATAATTTTCCAAGTTTATCTAGTACATTTGTTACTCCTATCCTGGAGTCCACAGTTTCTTCTTCTTTTTTTTTTAATTGGAGAATGGTATTTAGAAGCTAAGACCTTAGAACTAAATGTGCTTCTTGATACTGGGGTATTACTGCTTTTAGGCCCTCTCAGGAGACAGAGGTGAGGGAGAAAGGAATAGATATATATTTCCATTTAAGAAATCATCAATATTGATACTTACAATCCAATCCAATTCCTCACCATTCTGTAGTCGCCTCTATTTCATATTTATTTTTCTATTTCATATTTATATCTGCCTTCATTAACAGTGACAACCTTGTTTCCTAACAGCAATGTCTACTTATTTACCTAGTCCTGCATTGCACATAAAATAGTTTCAGAATTGTTACATTCCTATAATTACAAAAGCAAACTACTAGAAGGAGCTCATGCCTTGTTTGTAGTTCTTACCCCTAGACTGAAGGTTGAAAGTCAAAGTGCTATGTGCAAAAAATAACTTGAATTAGTTCTCTCACCCTACACTATCTATCCTACTTTGGTGGGTTTCTGTTATTTGAAATACACATCAATTCACTTGTTTATATTTCTAGTTTTAGTTTATTTTTCCTTCCATTATTGGTAATTTCATTTTACTTTTAGAATATATAAGATAAAATGCTTCCAAAAATCTAAAGCATCCAAAAAAGTATGATCAGAGAAATATCACACTCTTCTGTATTTCCTGAACCACTCCATTGTGTAGATGTAGATATACTATCGTTATTCATTTAAAATCCGATGCTGATTTAGGTAGTATCCAGCATCTTGCTACCACCCTTTTTATGTATACAATTTAATTGTATCCTTCCTGTGTTTCTTCTTGTAAAAATAAGCAGATAAATGTATGTTTCCTTCTTTCTTGTTTTTTACTCCAAAGTGAACATATCACATATACTGTTTTGCATTTTGCTTTTTTCAGTTAACCATATCTTCTGGAGAGCATTTTGCATCCATTTGCAGAGATGGTTTTCATTATTTTTTTTCTTTTTCTTTTTTTTTTTTTTTTACAGCTGTATAACACTCCATTGTGTAGATGTAGATATACATCTTAAAATCCGATGCTGATTTAGGTAGTATCCAACGTTTTGCAATTATAAATAATGCTGCAATAAGGTACCCTGTGTGTTTATATTTTAAGAGAATTATCTTTGGAGTAAGCCCCCAAAAGTGGGATTGCTAAATCAAAAGGTAAATTAATAGGTACTACATGTGGTCAAACTCTCTTCCATAGAGATCGTATCATTTTGCATACCCACCACCAATTTATGAAAGTGCCAGTTTACCTGAGCTTTTGCCAACATAATGAGTGAGAAATGGTATGTCAGTGTAGTTTTAATTTACGTTTTTCTTATTCTAAGTTAGGGAGCTTTTTGTATCTTTTCGCAGATTGTTGGCTTTGGTTCATGTTGTATTTGATTTTTTTAGTCTTTTTTTACTCAATTTAAAAATATATTTACATATTAGGGATGTTAGCCCTTTACCTGGTATATTTCTCACATAGTTTCTCCTAATTTATGTGTCTGTTCACATGTGCTTGGTTCCCCCCACCATGTAAAAAATTTTATTTTTTTGGAAAAACTCATCATGGTTTTATTACATCTGTACTTTAAGTCATAGCCAGAAAGCCTTTACAGACATGCAGGTTAAGAGGAATTTATTTTATGCTTTTTGCTAGATCTCCAATCCATTTGGAGTTTATAGTTATATATGGTATAGGAAATGAATTTCTAATTTTCGCTAACATAATTTAGGCAAGTAATCTTTACTTCAGTGTTTTGTGATACCATTCTTATCATATATTAAATGTCCACATAAGCCTGAATTGTCTATTTTATTCTATTAGGCTATCTATCCATGTACCAATACTATACTTCTAATAGTATTTTGTAGGCCTTATCCACTCCCAATAGCTCTTTTTAGTAATTTCCTAGCTATTCTTAAGTGTGTATTTTTCCATGTAAACTTTGAATTTCCCTAGCTCTAAGAAAAAGCCTTTTGGTAATTTTTAAGTTGGGATTGCACTCTATTCATAAATTAGCTTAAAGAAGAATGATATATGGATAATAATGACACATCCTAAGATTGGACATCTCTCTAAATCAATTTTTGCATCAGGAATACTTATAGTTCCTTCACATAGGTTTTGAACATTTATTAAGTTTATTCCCAAGTATTTTATCTTTTTACTTACTATTGTAAATGATACATTCTTTTTTTCTTTCTTGAGATCTTCTAACTGATTATTATTTGTGTAAGTTAAGGCTGTTATTTTTCTTTTTCTTTTTTTTAAGGCTGTTATTTTTCATATTAATTTCATATCCTGCTACTTTACTGAATTATTTTGTTGTTTGAGTTGGTTTAGTATTGACTCTTAGAGTTTAACAGGTATGATATGTCATCTGTAACAGAAGTCGTTTTTCCTCTTCTTTTTTGATTCTTATATCTCTAATTGATTTCTCTTGTCTAATTACATTGTCTAATACTTCCAGCACAATATAGAAATGAAGATAATGATCATCTTTGCCCGATTCCTAGCTTTAGTGGAAATATTTTTAATTTTTCTCCATCAGGTAAGATATGCATAAATATTTATAGTCATGTTAGAAAGTATCCATCCATTTCTATTTTCTCAAGAGTTTTAAATTAGGAATGGGTGTTGAATTTTGTTAGTGTTTTTCAGCAACTAGAT